GAAACAAGAAGACCAAGTTCTTCAGCACCCCACCAACAAAATCGAACACGATACGGATATGTCGAATAGCGTAATGAAGATGTTTGAAATAAACGAGCTAAATTTAGAGCTAAAACCAAATTGCCAATTGTTCCACTACCTAAATAAGAGTAGAGAGAACAATTAACATATCTCAACATAGGTTTTGTTTGTTACCATTATCATTGATTCCGCTTCCTGCTGATACTGAATCGCTATGTGAACCGATCAAAATTGTTTTTGTTTTGTCTCCTGTTTGTGTATCAGCACAAATATTTCTAATTCCATAAGCATTACTGACATTGATATTCATGATAACACTGGCATTACCGGCTGCATTGGCTAACTGCACTCCTAGATTATATGATAAGAAATAGGCTGGAATTGTGGTATTCCAATTATTATTCACTCCTTGTATTGGTTGAAAATGATCCAGTGCTGCTCCGTCATTGTAAATTAGCAATCCTTTCACTCGATACTTTTCAGCTAGTGCAGATTTCTGTTTATATGAACAGTCGCCTCGTTTGACCAATGCAATTAAATTCATCACTGTTGTATTGTTCCAATCAGTATCTTCACAACCAAAGTTTAAAATAGGAACTACTGGAACAAATGTTTCAAAATGAGCTCCTGATGATAATACTATTTGAGTGAAATCTGTCAAATAAATAGGACTGGTTAAATTTCCATTGATTTGTGTTTGCAACTGTGGAGTTCCTTGAATAAAGTAATTTTGAACTGTAAAATATAGATGTTGAATTATTAACTTTGTATTTTGCTCAAGTTGACTAGTAATATAATCGAGTGTGCCATTGAATCCACCAGTTGCGATTGCACGTGTTCCATTATTTTGATCAGCAATTATTTGAAGTTGTTCTAAATGTTTCATTAGATCTTCACTTTTTATTTGATTCACTAACGAGACTCGTTCGCTGTTATTAGGAGAGGTTTCATTTTTCGAATCTAGACGATTAATAACAACATTCAAAATAACCGCAGCAAGAGCGATGATAGTGACAGAAAACAAAATTAGCAATCCAAATAATACGTATATTCGTCTAGTAATCACAACATATTGTGACCGATCAGTACCGGTTATTTCATTCATCTTGTATAAGAGCTTCAAACACAGAATTTTATTGAAATGTAGCGGATCGAAAAATACATGAAGATGATAACAATAATAAGAAAGACGATAAATAATGTTTTATTATTCTGCTATCGATATTGAAGTATACAGTTACTGTTGAAGAAAAGTAATAAACACTAACATAATTTATTGTATCAAGCAATTTTTATCACTCAAAATCTGAATATGCATTTTCATTACTGCAGCAAATCAACTTCGGAATATAGATTTGAATTAAAAGAAGTAATTAGTCGACACCTGTAACCTAATAAATTGGATAATCAAGAAAGTTGTTTTGTATCTTAATTTTTGTATAAGCGCGAAATGGTGCACAGTACTATTTTATTTACGGTGTATGATCGAAATACAGATGTCACAGGAGTGTCGACGACATATTGACGAGCAAAGAAAAGAAAAGAAAATGATTTAAATCCTCTGACAATCACAATCAAATCACATGAATTATGTTGACTCAGTTGAATTGTTTGAAACCATGTTAAATCATTTAAAATCTATCTACATCTATCACTGGAGATTGTTCGAGCTCAGTAGAGAATGATTTAAAATCGACGATTCTAATACATCAATACTACTTAATACTGTGAAAATAAATTTGAAATTAAGATACTTGATAGATTAATTCATAAGAACTTAATATAATTCAATAGATAATAGTAAATCAGATTTGTATAGACTCATGGACTAGAGGTTTTTCATTGTAAAAATGACGAATGTCTTTCTCTCTTTTCGAGTTACATGAAAAAAAACAAGATATGATATGAATTACAGATGTTCACGGAGCAGGGTAGAAATGAGATCTGGACACTCTTGTAATTTCGAGCAACAGTCTTTAGTTTAGAAACGTTATTTGATCTGAGGCGCGCAGAATCTACCAGTAAAATTAAAAATATCCCTAAACAGCAAAATCTTTTGGAACCATTTCCCTCGTAATAACACTCAAGTAAAAACCGTGGTTTATTTGGAAAATTAAAAATTTCCCCATAGGAGAAAATATTTGTGAAAAAATCTGAAATGCAGCTAAATTTTCAAGAATCTCTTCGAACGATCGTTCGTACAGACGGGTAGATTCTGCATGGTTGTTTGATTTATTTTTAACTATATGTTGTAGGTAAATATTGGATTCAAGGAATGTCTACCCAAGAATGAACAACTAGTTCTTACCAATAGAAAAATGAAACAATAAAATCGCACATTTTGTAGAGTGTTGAATTTTGCGTTGAATAATATAGTCGTTGACAGCTTTCCAAAAGAGAAAGCAATATCAAGTTCATCATTAGAATAAAAAATTAACTGTACCGAGTAACACATATCACCTAGAGTAATTGCACGTGAAGAATATGTTCATGACGCAACAATAAATGCAAAGGTAATTGCTACACTGGTGTAGAATGAATAAAACAGAATAGAGAGTAAATTTTCGACGAGTAATCTAACGAAAATTCGAGATGATTTCAAAAAACAATGATGTCAATAACATCGGTTAATTTAATTCACTTCGACAGAAAGCGATGAATTCTGTATCATCTGGAAGACGAACAAGTTCATATCGAGAATCAGTTTCAAAGTCCATAAAATGTGATTTTCATCCATGGACAGACTGAGGGCGACAATTTGACATTCTGTTGCAGTTAAATGAATTTCTAACTTGGTTCACAGAATTCGAAACAAATATGTGACTAAATATTCATACTCAATGTTAAATTTTACGTTGAATAAGCTGCTTCAGAAGTCTTTAGAAAATTGTATAGAAAATATTTTAGACATTGTCTTTGAATGCTGTATATCTCCATCAAGATCTAATTAAAAATCGCAATATAAGACTATTCGTAGTATCTTGTACCTAACATTTCAAGATCTATTAACATTTCAATAACTTGCATCGTGGGCAAGATCGTGTTTAGAAGAAGTTCGACTAGGAGATATCTCAAAGCAATAAATCACCAACAATCAATTGATCTTCTCAAAAAAGCTAGACTTGATTTATCTTGAGGTCCCTATATACTTATTTTTCATGTCTCTAGTAGGTTTAAAGAAACGGAGAAAAACAACAATTCGTTTTCATAGAGTGAACTTTGCAATAAACTGAACTGTTAGTTTATCTTGTGATATGTATAGTATATGCATATATGTTTGTCAATGTTTGATTTGTGACGCCGACCAGAAACAAGATCGAGAGGTAATAGGGTGAGAGTGTGGGTATGGGAGTGGATGCGGGTGTGGTTTTGAATTACCACAAGATATACAACCACACCCACAGCCTAAAATAAATAGCATTAACATAAACTTCTAGAGATAAATTAGTTCATCCTCTTACACTAATTTTAAGATGTTAACTTTCTATGATATATCACACATATCTGATAGAAGGATATTTATTTTTCAGTATTTTTTAATAAAAATTTTCGAGAATTTTAATCATTCGTATAGTAACAATATCTTATAATATCACATTAATTTATTACATCGAATATGTTCAAGTTATATTTTAACAATAACTATCTTCTATGCTTCTACAAGTTCATTGTCTGTTTCACATGCAAAAAAAAACTTTTCAACAATAGATTATTTTTCTTGAAGATATTTTTTGTTTTCTCTTTTAATCTCTATTTTAAATTTTGAATAAAATTTATCGGATGAGAATAAAAGAAGAAATTGAGGAATATGTGAAGTAAAATGTAATGATACATCCTTAACTTGATATACGTACAAGTTTTAATTATTTTAAATAGATTTATTTAATAGGTAAGAAAATGATATGTAAAAAAAATGAATAATTGAACAAATAAATCAACTACAGCAACCCGAAAATCCTCTTCATTTGTATTAAGACAGTTTTTAAAATTAACTTCTTTTTAAATAAAAACTATATTATAGGAAAACAAAAATTAATCAAATTATTTATTTGTTTTCTTCTTGTTGTTTATTTTACTCTCTTAACACGAAATCTATTTGATGCACGATGACAATCATGTAGATAAATGAACAATTCTCGAATAGTTATTCAATAACTATTTGTTCAAGAATTATTAAATGATAAAAAGATTG